GGATGCTGCCCGAGTCCATGTCAAAAGGTAGGTGAGATCTGGCTTGAAATCACCTTCCTCAGCTGGTGAGATGTAGACACGTGAGAATCCAGATTCCTGCATGGCTGTTTCCATCTTGTCTTTCTGGATGGCCACAAAGCATCTGACAGATGTGGCCGTCTGCGGCGAAGCGAGTTTGCCGTTGGCACGGAAAGATCTGCCCCACACAGCTTTGATTAATTTCCGATTCTCCAGCACTCTAACTCTCGCTAGGATCTGTCGGGCAGGTGCTTCAACAATCCGGTTCCATTCTTCATTAGTGAAATCTGGTTTACACACAGTGAGATGGATGGTGGCGGTCTCAGGCACCTCAGTCTTTAGCTCATCGCACGATAACTTGATGTCATTGGGTCCAAGCTGGACAAGGTGCCCTCTGAGAAGAAACTTCCGTCCTGCACAATCATATGCCGGAAAGGTGATGGCTTGCACACGAAAGATTGCAGGGCAATCCTGAGGCGGCGGTTTCATGAGAATGACACCAAGCTCATCCGGAAGAGTTTTTCCCGTTTTCAACCAAGGTAAAAGCTGGTCATACGTTCCGATCATGACACCAGTGGCGTTGCTGGAGATTTCCGAAGCAATGCCAATCTCTCCACCTGTGCTGCGGGCAAAAAAGGAGGGATCAAGTCGGAAGTCTTTCGGCTCAAAAGACTGCACTTTGTGCTTCCCTTTGCCTTTGCCTTTACTACTGGGTCGGATTGCTGCAGGCTTATTCTCGCGATCTGCCTGTCCAGGAATCGGAATGTTTATTCCATGGGCTTGGGCAAGTGCGCACAATGCATCATGCTTGTCAAGTCCGTCACTGGCATTGACGATTGCCGTGAGCTCACTCACAGGCACTGTGTTCACAACCTGGGTCACAATCGGTGCCACAAGCTTGGAGGGGATGCTTCCCTGGAGGAAGATCTGCGCCAATTGACTTTTGATGTGCTGCTTGGCACCTCCAGGCACTCCCGCAAGGAAGCATCGGATCACTTGGCCGTCCACTGAGGCTGGCAATTGGTCAAGCGCAATTTGATTTCCATTGCTCCTGATCTCGCGAAGTGCTATCGCTTTCTCTCCGCACCATAACTGTGCAACAGCCCAAATGGTATCCCTCGGATCCACGCGAATCTCCTCAATGTGATCTCCGGCAAAACCAATGGCCAACTTAACGAGGTTGGGCAACGGGTCAATGTGTGTGTCACGAGCACTGTACAGCACACTTTGGTCCAGGCACCTTCGCTTAGGCATGGGTGCATGCATGGCGTCTTCAGGGACAGGCAAGGCCGCAAAGTCAACCCTCCAACAATGAATCGGATTGCGGAACATGCACGGGACAGGCAAATGTGTATCAAGGTGGAGAGACGCAAGCATCTTGCCAATTTTGGATCGCACATCATGCACATCTTCAAGCGGGATGGTGATGTCAAGGAGGCACTCAGTCGCTTGGAAAAGCATGACATGGAACTGCTGCATTTTTCCTGCCCTGATTGCACTGAGGTTGCAGTCATGAATGTTCTCTAACAAGCAGGCAACTTCACAAGCTTCACGAAAGTTCCAAGGCGACTCCAAGGGCAACACAATGCGCACTGAATCCGAGTCAATGGGGCTGAGCCAATCGCACGGCGTGAAGGTCTCACTGCTGCGAAGTCTGATGAAAAGCTGTTGGTCCTCGTGAGACATCACATCAAGGGCTTTCTGGGCTTGGTCACCAGCCGTGCGCTTTGCAGTCGAAAGTCCTGACGGGGTGATGCATGTGATTTCAACAACACTCTTGAACTGCTGGGTTGGCGACACAAACTGTGAGCTTGATACATGCTGAGGTTGCTCTCGCCCCGGAGTCGCGGGCAGGGTCGACTGCTCCATGATGAGCCAACCTTGTCCATACGGACTCACATTTGCGTTGAACCGATTCATTTTGCGAAGCAAGAGTCGTGCAAGGCAAGTTTCTGGATTCAGATGGTTGATGACGCCAGCCCGAGCATAGACGTTGATGCACTGACACAACACGATTGCTGCATGGCACACTGAAATCGCATTGCCAACCATGCGGGCTGCATTTTTGACATCCTCAGGGAGGATCAAAAAGTCCGTATTCACGAGCGCAAGGGCGGTTTCAAACGGAGAAAGGAATCGGTAAATGCTGGCGCCCGGGTGGGAACTGACAATCTGGCCAAAAAGTCCCTTTTCTTGCAAAAGGTCATCAGGCAGTTCATGTTGCTTGGTGTATGCAGCCATGGCCGTGGCAAGTCGACCTGCGTTGCACACATCGCGGCTGGCAAGGGTGTCACCCTTTCGCATGAACATTGGGTGCGCATAGCGACTCAGAGTGTCCGGGTCAAGTGTCAAACTATCACGGTGGCAAGGGGGTAACGGAAGTGGCACCACCGCACGAAGTGAAAGCTTGATGGGCCGCAAGGCCTGCCACATGACTGTGAACGGTGCAGGATCGCTGAAAGGGGTCAAGCTGTCAATGAGGATAGCAAGCCACCTGCGTCTGTTGGTACAGCTGACATGCTCCAATCCATCTTGCACAGTTTGCCAAGCAATGCGATACTTTGCATCAGTGAACAAATTCCGCAAAATGGGCCAATGTTCATGCTCAACCAACGGTGCCACATTCTCCAAGAGGATACACCGAGGTCGTGCGATCGATATGGCTCTCGCAAATTCATGCCATACTCTGCCCTCAGGTGATTGCAGGCCTGCTTTTCTGGACGCTGAGCTCCACGGTTGACACGGCAAGCTTGCCGTCCAGATCTCGTGCTGTTGGATGTTCTGAATCAAATGCATCGACCTGGCATTGAAATCCTCGCACAGAAATGTATGAAGAGGAATGACCGACATGCTGAGGAAACTTTCTGTCGTAGTGACATCAGCGTTGAAATTCTTTGCATACACTTCTGCAGCAATCGTATCATGGTCAATAGCTGTTTTGACAATGAAGAGGTCTTTCAAGGAGGTGTCTGCATTGATAGCGCGTGACCAACCTGCATACCCACCAGCAAAGGTCTCACAAACCGTCAAAGGAAACCGAGGTGTCTCACGGAGGGATCGACAGAAAGAAGATTGCTGAGCACAGTACCAGAAATAATCGCCGCGAGCATTCCATCTTACCTGGTGCAACGTGCAGGTACGGCCTGGCTCAATGGTGGGCAAATTGCATGTCGTCTTGATGCACACTCGAGTTTTCGAACCGAGATGATGATCCGGGTTGATCAAGTCAGTGAAATAAACGAAACTGTGACCATCAAATTCATTGAGCTCCAGGCGGGCGCAGAGAACAGACACGACACGTTGGTCCTTCAAGTTGGTAGTGTGAGCAACCAAAATGGCAGTGCCAAGAAAAGATTCTCCATCTCCATGCAGGTCAAAAACAGGCTTCGGCACAGGCAAGGATCTGGGTGGTCGTGGTGGTCGAACAGGCGATCCTAAATACAAGATCTCACCTTGCACAGTGTGAGTCATAGTATTTGCTGAAATCTGTCGGCCCTGCACAAAACATGCATCTGCGAAACGTTGCAAGTCCACAATGCTCAAAGCTTGCTTGATTGACACGTCACTAGGCACTTTCAACCTGAAAGGTCCCCAGCACAATGGCAGCACAATCTGCAAATCCATCTGTGGATAAGGGCCATCGCACTCCATAGCGTCTACTGAAGAGGTGGAACTAAGAGTTCAGCGAACCAAGGGCAAAAGCCTAGTTGCGCTGTGGCAACCTTTGGTGAGATACCACCCACCCTAGAGCCAGACACAACATGCAATCCTTGCAACGAGTCTGAGCTAAGACAAACAGTTCCAACTGAATGCTCGTTTCCTCACGAAGGTTCGGAATCGTTTGTTGGAAAAATAAGGTGTTCATCTCTACGAGAGTCCCTACTTATTTTCCCTTAACGACCCTCGCATTAGCGCATGGATCCTATCCACGTAAAAAGACAAACAGTCGATACAAATAAGTGTGCTCCACAATCCACACATCAAGTGCACTTGCACGGAAAAAAGCAGAACACTCAGCGGGTTCCTTTTTCACACAGGCACAAACGGGGGAGAGTTCGTCTCCGAGCCCGCAGCCTCCTCCCATCCTCAATTGCGAGGGGGAAACTCAGGCACAGCTTCCCATTCCACTTTGTCCTGTGTGCAACCAAGCGCTTGGAGCTCTTCGCATTCCAAACGACTGGGTGAATCTGCCGGATTGGAGACACTTGGGCAACGGGCAAACCAAGATTTAATCTGAAGGTCTGCTTCGAGGCGACAGCTCTCGACAACCCACCTGTCTGCAAAAGTGGTTGCTCCTGTCCCGCGAATGAACGCGGTTCGTGCAGCTTCATTGTCAATGTAATAGACCGCCTGCGAAAAACCAAGAAAGGATTTCCAAAGTCGCTGCGCAATGAGCACTGGCAAAACTTCCAGCTCGTAAATCGGATTCTTGGATCCAGCACATAAAGCTCTCATGAACACGTCAGGCACAAGCTCAGAGAAATAACGTGTGCATCTACCCGAAGGATCCACGAGTACGCCTCCGATCGAACCCTGCTTGTCACTCGCTCCTTCGCAAGCGCCATCCGTGAAAACGATCCAGCACTCCTGTATCTTGGCAGCAACTTCAAGAGGGCGACCTTCTCGCACCCTTTCAATCAAGAAATCCAGAGCACGGATCATTGCTTGGGATAGCTTACACACTGTGACGCCCGGCCCCGAAATGAAAGGCAACCTCAGGGCCCTGATTGCGCTGTTGGCCTGACGCCCCCAAACAAAGCCCTCAAACCAAATCATGCGACCTCGAAGCTGCTCCGAATGTTTGCACGTAAGTTCTCCCGCTTCCAGGATGCCCTTCAACGCTTCTTCAAGCTCTGCTTTGCGCTCGGGAGTGTGCATAATACGGATGCGCCCTTCAAGAATGGTGTCAAGGCCAATCAGCAATCCCAACGACTTCACGGTTGCCGAAAAGTCCACTGCTTTTTTGCCATCTTTCGCGAACTTCACTCCAGGTCGAAGAGCGCTTCAGCACTCACCGCAGCTGAGGTCAACGCACGTGCATCCGAGAAAGCTGTGAAGTCATCATAGAAACTCGTCCACCATAGCTTGGGCCCCTTGAGGCCTGCAAACGTCAAGGCTGCCGAAATACGAAGAAAACCGCCGACGCTGCCCACTGCACCGAATGGGAGAGCGTTTGTTCCAAAGAAGGCCAATTCACCCGAAAGCGTCTTGACAGCGATCCGGGCCAAGTCCCTGTCGGAGGGATGCACTCCATATTGTTTGTAAGCCGAGGTGAGATCATAGGTCTTTCCCAAGACGCCGCCCATGGACCTGCTACTTTTCGAATCGATGACGAAAGCCAAGTGAGCAGCGATCTCATCTATGGATTGAACCGCCAGTTTCTCCCTGAGTCCAGCCAAGGAATTCAAACCTCCAACCGAGAAATCATCAATGACCCTAGTCTTCTCCTTTTGCGCCAATCCAAAACGTTTAGCCAGCAGGACTTTTCCGAGGTCCGGGGCATCGTCTCTGAAGATCCACCCGCGTTCCAGTTCCGCCAGCGTCTCGTCCCAGGCCTTGGCGTCCGTCTCACTGAAGGAGGTCTCAGCCATCTGCTTGACAATTCGTCGATTGACAGAACTAGCCATAGCCATGACCGCTGCCGCGGGCATGGTGGGCTTCCGAATTTTCTTGGGGAAGCATCCGGTTTCCCGCAACCAACCAGTCAACTTGAACCCTTCCGAGACATCCTGCTGCAAATACTTGTCCTCGAAGCCCAGTCGTTCCAACATCTCGCCCATGAGCAAAATTCGCTTGCCTCCCAACACTTGCTGTAAATATCCCGGCATAGAACAGTGAAGGGATTTTTCGGCATGCTCGAGCTCTTGAGCCCTCTTCATCCAGTACGTCAAGAAATCAATGCGAGCCCTAGTCAAGTCCGTCACCGGCCAATCCCTGTTCGCCACGACTGCCTCCTCCGAAACAGCATTCAACGTAACTGCCAAACTTCTCGGGTGTCCAGCCTGCACCGCCGCTTGAATGAAATCGGCGGGCTTTCGTGGCACCCCCAGGACAATCTTCTCCATCACAGCATCATCTGCAAAAGAGCCATGTTCAGCTAATAAAAGCGCTCCTCCACTGCAGGCCCGCTCGACTTCCCCCCTTTCCACAATATGCCTGCGTACGATAGCAGTGCATTGATTCGACATGTTTGTCCAACGGTTGGGTATTCTGCGCGGCGCACAGCACGGTGTGGTAGTCGCCGAAATCTGCAAGCAAGGGTTTGAGCCGTTTACCCCTAGGAAAAGCGCCCATGACAACGCGATGCAGTGAGTGATGCGGTTTGTCGGACTGCGCTTGGAGATCCAAAGCGTCCACCGCGCCTGCACGCAAAACTGTCTGCTTGACAATAGCCGCCATGCGCTGCACCAGGACAAAAGGGTAAGCGGCTTTGCTTGTTGTGTCAAAAGTCAAACGTTTGTTATGCGCAACTGTCGTCCAGGGTTTGTGCGGGTGTGAACCATCACAAAGCAAGGCAAGAGGATTGAACCAACGCACATTCGTCCAGAACATTGTCCCTTTGTCGCGTTCTCCTCCGTGGCAACAACTGTGGAAACGCACTTCGAAGATGGGCACGTCCGATTGCAACTGCTTCATGGGGGAAGTGATCCAGAAATACGACCCCCAGGGGTTCTCAATTGTAAAAGCAACTTGGAGTTGATGGGCCAAAACGCAAAGTTCATGTACAACTTCGTAAAGAACATTGGCTTTCTCCGTTCGGGCTTTGTTGGCACCTGACAGATTGTCGAGCCCATCAGGCCGGGCTGTGGACCGTAAAGGTCCTGGCACACTGAATCCTTGAGCAGCCCACTTCTTGAGAGGCCTTTCTCGGGCCTTTGAGGCCGTGCCACAAGGCGGCGCAAAATGAATCCAAATTATGCGAGACGAATTCGCTTTGATGTAACCACGCAATTCAGCAATTCCATGCTCCTTGCTGAGATCCATGATCACAATGCGCTGCTTTGCTGCTTTGGAAATGGTGTGATCTATAGCCATTGCCTGCAGTGCCACTTTGGTGACTGCCTGTGAGAGCCTAGCACTGCCAGCAAAAACTTCCATGCAAATCAATTCTTCAGTGAAAACCCCATTGCACTTCTGCAGAAGGGTGTCCTCTTCGGACTTCTCAAAGGGAGCTTCGACACCTTCAGGTGTGTCGGCCTTGGGCTCCGAGTCGAACCTCGCACGCTTCGCTTCTTGGCGAGGCATGCAAGAAGGGCCCGGTTTGTCAGCAAGCAACTCCTGCTTGCGGGCACCAAGCTTCTGGCTTAAAGACCCGCTTGCATGAGAAAGTTGTGAAACCACATTCTCATCGCCACCAGAGCGTCCAACCGAAAGTCAGTTGGCTCGGCAGTTGACCAAGCTGTGATTCTCCTTGTGGCACTTTGCACACACGTGCACCCCCTTGGTGCATTGCTTGGGACTGCCCGAAGTGGCCAAGCTACACCCCTGAGCTAGATTGTATCCATAGCAAATCCTCTGCTTCGTGGCAGTCTGCAGTTGGTAAGGCCTCAATTCTTCGGGCATTCTCGGGCCCCGAGCCTTGAAACGAGGTGGAGCCTTATCCTTTGAGGAAGGCTTCGTCACCTTACCTGTCTTCTTGGTTTTCGGCTCAGCAACTGTGCTCTCTTTGGCCACGTGCGTGGGCAAAGGAAGAAGGTGCATGGTGACACGCGGATCAACTCGCAGTTTCTCCACCACCTGGTTGAGCGGCTTGACACCGTCTGCAGCCGGCTTCAGGCTGGGCAGACCCTCATCCGACGCCAGCAACCACAATTGCTGGTCTGCCTTCATCAACTGCGAAACCTTCACGCTGGCGTAACCTTGGGGGCTAGACCGAGTCAGAGTGGTCATTAATTGCTGTACCCAGGCTTCATGAACACTCCAATCCACAAGAAGGCATGAATCGAAAGCAAGACCTCTCCTCTGCAGGGCCCACTGCAAGCGAAGTTCTGTGCCCACGTCTGCCTTAACCTCAGGCTTAGCAGATGACAGTTTGATCGTGTCAGCATCTACAGACAAAACCTGTCTGTTGTTCTTGTTGAGCTGCGACAACTCATCTTCTCGCTTGCCACAACGCTCAGGACTGATCCACAAAACCACATTGCTTTCCACGATGCCCGCCGCGAGGTCCAACAATGCGTCGGAAGGCTCAAGCTCTCCCTTGGCCAGGATGCCCGCTGATCCCGCTTGCGCGCAGCCTTTTCGGCCGCCGGTAATTGCGTGGCCTCGGGCTGGGAGCTGGAAGAAACCTTGGACTTGAGGTCTGCAATGACCAACGTTGTCGCTTCAAACTGCAAAAGGCGTAGATTGGCTGCGACACCAAGATCGGCTCCTTCCCCGAAAACCTGTGCAGAGAGTAGTCATCCTGATTCATGGGCTGCTGCGGGGTCCCAGAAATAAATGCAAGCTGAGAGAAAGTCCTAATGTTCTGCGAACCCAATCCTCGGAACAAATCCCCCGAGCTGTCAATCTCCTGACATCTTTGCTCGAAGGCGGCCCGTGAATCCACTAGCGCCATTCTTGTCACACGTTTGAGCAAGCACACCCTCTAGAAGCCAAATGCTGGCATTCTCAAAAGGGTGCAATTCCTAACATGCTTGCATGCAAACGAAAGATCTCAGAAAAGAAACCTACGACCTCCCAGGCGCATCACCCGGATTTCTCGCTCAGCACAACAAGCATGGCTCTGAGTCTCTGTCTACAGAAATGCAAGTGAAACAGACTTTGGGTGCCCTGCGCCTGATCTCTCGTCAAGGTGCGGCTCTGTCAATGCGACCGCTCGCTTCCGCAAATGAAACGGCGCTTTTGAAACACTGTCTGCACTTGGGAGTGTCCCATCTCAACTGAGGTTCCCAGCTGAAGGCCTCATTAAGCGCTCTCCCGCACTGCAGAAATTTCTTGAAGCCCTCAGGTACCAAGTGCACCGTGTGCCACTTCTTGTGTTGCACCATGACAGTACCCACCACTGCTTCTGGGGGTTTGCATACCTTGGCAGATTCCAACTCCGGTTCGCTATCCGAACAAGAGGAGCTGGTGACCCCATTGTCTGAGCTTGCAGCAGACCCCAGCTCGTGTTGAGCGACCTCCGGAATTTCCCTCGCCTGGCTCATCAGGTTCACCAACATGGTTGAGTCCGAATGGAGGAACTGCCCTGACTGCACCGTTGAAGTTGCATCCTCAACCAAGGAAAAAGAGCCCTGAGCATGCTGCGAGCTAATGCCATTGTCTGAGCTTGCAACCGACTCCAGCTCATGTTGAGGAGCTTCCGGCTGAGCTGCTGGCAATGGATCCAACGACGCCGTGTCCTCGACCAAAGAGAAAGGAGCTGGAGCCTGCTTCGGGGTTGGCGAAAGTGAAGAGCCCTCCACCAGCTTGGTTGCCCCCTTGGGCATAAGCCTTCCGCTCCTCTTGTTGTCAGGAACAAACACTCCCTCACGAATCTCGCGCATCATGTCTGACAAGAGTTGGAGAGGTCTTGACATGGCATCGCGGGCATATCTGTGTGCCATGTCCTGATGAGCATGATATCCCAGGGTCAAACGATCAGGTTGCGAAAATCCTCTCTTCGCAGCGAAAGACAAACATGTAGCCTTAAGCGAGTGAGAAGTCAGCTTCCGTCCTTCGACAGCATGCCCCGCCTTGACCAAGATGGCCCTCAACCATTCGCCAGCTTCACTCGAATCCAGCGGCCTAACAGTCGGGGCACCTGTCTCATCAGGTGCAGGCATCAAAGGATGTTCAGGCGGATCCCTAATCCCCAAAACACGTCTGCAATCAAGCCAATCCTCAGCCCACCTGTCAACACGCACTCCATCTGTGATTGCAACCAATGGCAACATTCTGTGCTTGAATGCAGTTGCATTGAGACTCTTGTGAACCGACGTCCTGCCTTCGATGAAAGCAATAGTATCCTCCTCGAAGTCCATGTCAGCAATAATTTTCTCGACATGCTGTGCATCTGACCATCGAGCCCGAGCATAGACCACGAACAATACTGCTCCCGCAACAACTGCATCCCACAAACTCGACTTGTCATGAGTCAAACCGTGAAGAGTGGTCAGCTCACAAACCAGCAATGGGCTTGCCTGTTTGAGAACCTCTTGTTCGTTGCGAACCGCTGTGCCAAAACAACGCTTGCTTTGCAGAACAGGCGTGATCTCATCCACATTGAGCACAAATTTGCAAAAAGCAAAAGCTTCCAAATACGCCTTGCGACGAGAAGCGGGACCTTTGCTAATGCGATCCTGGTTCAACAACATGTACGCTTCACTCTCCGTGCAAGGAAACATAACCAGCATGTCAGCAGCATCCTTGCAAAAACGCGTCATGCTGTTTGCCCGTTTCATGAGTGTCTGAGGCGCCTTGCCAGCAAATACATCCTCGAGCATGTCAGTTTGGATTGCAAATCAACGCACTCATCAATCCATGCCCGAATGTTGATTTCAGGTTTCCATGAATAGATAAGCTCGAGCCATTTCTTTACAGCACATTGACGTCTTGCTTCACGTTCATCTTGCCATGAAATCTGCTTGCCCTTCTTCACAACCTGCAAAAATAAATCTGTAGCTGTGCGCGGCTTCTTGAGCGTCCGCCCACCCAGCACTGAAGGCTCGTCTTCAGGAATCTCGGCAAAGGAACCGATCTGCATGGGTCTGTCAAATTGAGTGAAGGCAGGGGCCAAGAAAGACTGTGATTGATTTCCAAAAACTTGACTCCAGAAACCATCCTCCCAAATCTGATGAGGGCCGCGATCTTGAAGGCTCTGCCACGCAGATTGTAAAGACGCGTCAACATCGACCGAGGCAGAAATGTCTTCTGAAGGGCTGAGCACCCGCTCAGGCGAATATCCAGAATCGTCATCCTGAAGAGATAAACCTTCCGAATTCAAATCCATGACCCCCCTGGCACAATTGGCCTTAGGAGCACTCCGCGTCCTAAAAAGGGGGAACCCACCCACCCACCCTAGAGCGCACACACTTGTACGACCGACACCCTCCCCGTGATGCCGGCCGGTCCATCTGTCAATGTGAAACTTCGCGGTTGCCACTATTGGGCAACATGAGGGCCAGAAGGCCAGAAAAACAAACAAACGACAACCACAACAAACAACGAGAGGCAACAACAGGCACACCAACACACGGTGAGACGTCTAGGCACGCTTCCTGTGGAAATTCTTGAAGCGGCTCTTTGCCAAGTGGCAGCAAGAAGGATCATCATCTGCCTGGAGCGGGATCTTGATCAGTGGCTCAACCTTTGGCACTGTTGGTAATGCCCATAAGACTCCATCGAAGTTGGGTGTGGATTCAACGATAATCTGTGCAGTTTGTTTAGCAAATTGCATAGCTGGGCGGATGTTCAAACCGCCCAATTGGGTTTTCAATCTACGCATGGCTTTACACATGGTCACAGCTGTGGCGATCTTGGTTGCCGGCCACAAAGGTGCATCCACAAGTGTCGAAAGGTACTCCAAGCTATCCTTGAAGTTTCTTAAGACTTGGGCGGCAGATGTAGGTGTAAATGCAAGCGCAGGCTCATGGTCAGGTGTGACGTATTTGGGTAAGTACTTTGTACCCTGGTTTATGGGAACAAAGCACTGTGTGACTAGTCGAAAATTGACATAAAGTTCGTACCAAGTCACGTCACTACAGGCATCTTGCAGATTTTTGGGCCAACGAAGGGATTGAACCCATTGAGCCTCAAAGTGTACGTCGTACCCCAAAACATTAACCGACGTTTGTCCTGATCCAAGACTGAAGTCGGCCACTGTTCTGTCTGCAGGTATTGCGGCATCAAACCTGCATGTGGTGCAGGGCTCGATGTCTGCGACACGGACTGTCCAGGGTTTTGTGTTTTCAAGCTTTTTGCTTGCGCAAAAGCTTTATGCATAGCGGCCACACACTGCATGGCTCGCAATGTTGTTTGGCGACACTTGACGCTAGCCGCGTGGCAATCACGGATTAACATGTTTAATTGGCGATCTGGCAGGTTCACAAGCGCCTGCTTGGCTATACCGTCCACGAGGCGATTGCCCTCGTGGTAGAATGCTGCTTTGGTCTTAGAATCTTCGGGCTGCGGCTGGTGGCTCTTGATTTTCTCAAGTTGGAAACCATACAAAGGTTTACTAGCGCACGCATGACACAAAGCATAAATGATGTCAAGGTTATCTCGGTCTCCATGTTTCCCAGGATCCGGGTCAGCAAGGATTTGAGAAACCGTTGTCAAAGCATACTGGGAATCTGTGACAATTACGCCACCATTGGTATTTGCAACAACTGTTGCAATGGCAAAAAGTTCTGCACGATTGACACTTTGCCTACCGGGCAAAGAACCCGAAATCGTGTAGGCCCGAGTGGCCAAAAGGGGTATTTCCAAGGTACCTGCAACAACACTGGAAAGTGTGTTTTGTTCAAAGGCGACAATAGCCCAGGCCGCCTGGTTCTCGATGTCTCGCAACCTGTCATGGCAGCTGGCATCTGTGAAAAAAGTGCTTCGTGTGTCATCCTGGGGTTTGGGTATTGCCGGGAAAACGATACCTGCAGCCGCTTGCAGTGCCCTCAAACTAGATTCCTCAGGGATTTGATGAGCAACTGGCAGGATGCAGATGTATTTCATATCCTCCGGCAAATGTGTAATCCATTGTTCCCATGGAGCACGGACTTCCCGAAGCGCCTCACAGTGGACAACAACATGGTCATCTGTCATTTGGGCGTCGCATAACGGACAAGTAATTTCATCCAGAGGGAGCCAATGAGCTTTCATGGCCACACTTTGGAGCGCGCCTGTCCAGTGGTTTGTCAGAATGGCAAACTCATCTGGTCTAAGTTTGTTGCAACAATGCTTAGTCAAAGTAATGTTGATGGAGTGCAACTCTTGCCACTGTTTTCGATGCAAGGCTGCTGCCGTGACGCAATCGTCCCATGTGACGTCCAAGCATCTCAGTAAGTCCTGAGATGATGCGTAGTGCAGATCGACCATGCCAAAGTTTTCCGCTTGCATGCGCATGTTTGGCAGTAGCTGCCAGTGTAAATGCTCGGCAAGGCGTGCTAGCGAAGCAGCCGGGCCTGTTGCATTCGTGCGTTTGGTTTTGTAGCACGGTTGCTGGTATTCACAAGCCAATTCCCAAAGATCACCTACAATTCCCCATCTTTGTCTCGTTAAGTGATGCAAAGTGGTTAGCATGGTTTTCGCAATTGCATACAAGGGGTCGAGATTGGCTTTGGTAGTG